CATTACTACGTTTAGTATTATTTATTGTCCTTTCGTAGAAGCAATATATGTCATGGAGAGTGGCAGGTACACTAGGCAGCACTTTGCAGCATTTTTCTGCTGCACGGTGCTGGTTGGGCAGGGATTATTACCTAACTATTTTGATGTCGATCCAGCGAATGTTGGGCCATCATGTTCTGGTGAGTTAGAGGTCATGGACTCATCATCGCTGGCGGTATACATTGGTAGGGATTTAAGGGAAACATGTTCCACAGATCCATTTTCAACAGCTACAAAATGACACTCTTGTTCTCTGAGGGGATTGCCTATACCTGTAGGTATACATATATCTATAACGTAAAAGTTGGACTCTCACCGTATATGGAAACATCAGTTCACTAGGTATTGGTCAACACAGACACAGGTGCAACAGCTTGGTCAGCGTGTCTATGAAAGCTAAAGAAACGTTTCATTATTAGTACATTGGATGCAGACAATCAGCAATGCAATACAAACTACGGACGTGTACGTCCGTGCAAGAGATCTCCTGCACTCACTGTGGGGTTGAACAAGGTTGGCAAACGGGCAGGGACAAGTAGGTTGTGCATGTGTTTGGTCAAAACGGTCAGGAGTGCGAGGTGAGCAACATTTACTCGCAGGGCGAGTGGAAAGTCCGATACAGAAGTTGCATTCGAAGTAGCCCAACCCCTAGCCCGACCTACGTGCCAGTTCTACACGCCGGTAGCTAAACATCAGATGGTGCAACATGTGACCACATTTATTACGCCACTCATGAGTACCTTGGTGTGAATGAAAATGTTGTGCAAATTGCGCATTCACTATCATTTGTGGTCTGTCTGTCTGTCTGTCTATCGTAGCGTACTATGTTACCCGTTAGTGTGCTTAGAGTGGAATCGCGGTGAATGATTACTTAGCAGATGAGGACAGTTTGTTTCACTTAGATTCAGTTGATCAATCCCATAGGACAGTTCTTCATCTAGTATGCTTTGGCGGGCGCGTAATCAGTTGCAGTGAGCAGCAGTCCACTTTCCAAACACAGCCACATGCACGGCGGCGAACAGGTGCAAGACTAAAGCGATCGGAATCACCTATTGGTTGCTTATCTCTGTAGGTTGATGTCATTCGCTTAGATGCGACCAGTATAGTGGCAGTCATTGATCTTTGTGTCCGGAGTTGGATATGCAATTTCACTGTATATACCAGACGGTTTCAAATAGTTTAGAAATCTCTGGGGAGCAATGTAGCAATGCTTTATGACGGGTGAATTGTTAATTAGCAACCAATTAATGTCTTTCGTCATCGCTTGCGACTGCTATCTGAGTAGAATCATACACCATGTTCGTCTCAACACACTGAGACACTATCCGTTGGACGAGTATGTTTCACGTAGTGTTTCAATCCGAATTCGAGCAGTCACTTGTCCGCAGGACGCAAAGTCTGCAGGAGCCGAATCTTGCGCTCTTACCAGAAAAAACGATTAAGTGAGGGCCTTAGAACAAAGTGGCGTTGGCATCAACAACATCCCGCTTATTACTCGCCTTAGCGCAACCGTCCAATAACGTCCATCTCAGAACTTGAAGACGGCGGTCGGTAAAAGAGGACCAATAGTCAGACATCGTTACTTCAGCGCTGTAGGTGCTTCCAAATGGAATCGGACCATTCGGTTTCCGAATCCGGTGTGCATTCGCACTAGCGGTCGGTGCAAGAATACAGCTTTACACCATCAAATTGGCTTGTTCTATCGTCCCGGAAGAAGGATATACCAAGTATCGCGATGCCGACGTATGTTATCTCGAAGCGTATCCATGCTTCTGTGATAGCATTGAGGTCCAATATTTTTGCGGAATGTCGAATTTGCAACTCATCTAACTTGCTGATAATTCTTTTCTCTCCATGCATATGGATATACTATGACTGTCGCTTTGCATCGATTCCAGATGTATAGTTTGGCACTCCATCCTGACACGAGGATAAAGCACTTGCACAGACTGTTTTTTACCCAACGGCATTCAGAACACTTGCTACGGGTTTCGTAAATGTGTTGGTGAACTCCCGTGTTGAATGGGCAGTGTCCTCGTTGACATTGGTTTGTCAACGAAACTGTCCACTGGACGCTGTTCGACTTCTGCCGTATTCAACCGCAGATTTGAAAGCAGCTTTCTGTGGAGCTCACGCTACCTATGTCACAGGTCTGGTACTATGTGTCAGGAGTGTGAAGTACGGGTTTCAGTCTCCTCTAGCTGCCTTTATTATCTTGACCCAACCATGAAACAATCGATAGATAGATTTTCACGGGTGTTTTACCACCATTCAAAGCCTCGCTCTGAAGCATCACCATGATTATCTGCTGATAGCTCGGGTGCACCACAGATGAGGTTAGTTACTCGCGGGTGCATACGCGGCAGTTGTGTGTGTGGTTCATTTTTATCCGATTGGCGCTCACTGGATGAAATGTTGCAAAATATGCGCACTGCAGGGTGTCTATTCCGGGGACGATCATCATCATCATCATCAATGCACGTTAGCCGAGGACGAGGACATACACTTCACCTCATGTGCCGCAATGCAAAACAGATACGAGTCTAAACATTACAGATTGCAAAGGAGAGAATAGTAACATAATGCTAAAACCACGTAACTGATTGAATTGTGATCGCTGTTGGAGGACGAAGCTAAATGGGCGGGAGGGACAAGAGACACAACAGAAGCGCCATTGAGGTCGGCTCCTCGTCATGTCAGCTAGTGTATCCATTTAAACGTGTTCATCGTCCTTGGGACTTCAGCCGGCCGTTCGGGAAATACTAAACGACACCAAGTTCGAAGTGAGAGATTTCATTCCTCTAGACCAGAGGTCACCAACCTACGACCAGTTGGCTGGATTTGGCCAGTGATCTCATGTCATCCGGCCCACGAACGACACCAGATTTTGAACACCCAACTAATGCACGTGCCTATCCCACCCTGTGTACACGGCCTTCTCACTTATGCACTTCCATCATGTCATTGCGTGACCCCATTCTGTCTGAACACGTTCATGCATTCTCACCGCGGCATCACAGCCACCTTTGGCCCCTTCCTGTCGCCTATCAGCTTCGAGAGTTTGAGCGGTACTCTGCGTGTAGCCAATCGAACGGGACAACAAAGACCGCAATGCCGCACTTCGCACTGTAAGCTCGATTGCGTTTCGCATTCTCTAACCCTGAACACCCGTTTGACCCCAATCACCTGCTTGTACGTTAGTGTGCTTGTGACCCACGCAGTCGTGTCTGTCACGCGCATACGCCGCGGCGTTCGCGTGGCTGTGCATGAAATTGATCCATGTGACAGGCAAACCACATTGTGGCTTAGTAAACTGCACGAAAGGTGAGCATGAAGGTGAGCATGTCACGTCCTCGTGATAAGTTTCGAGCCCATGACGTCCATGAGAAGTGTAACCTCGTGTAGACAATGGGAGGATGCTACAGGCGCTTCAACGCAGGTCAGAAATCCACTTACTGTCGAGACGGCGAAGTGTCAGTGATAAATCAGATGGGCGGTAAGGTTGTCGTTGGATGATTTCGGTGTCTCTGCCGAATGTGCGGTTGCCACTCTCGGAACCGAAGTTGAAAAATGATGCCGCAAGCTACTCATTTCAGGTAGCCGTATTCATATATTTTGCAACGGCCCTTGTGTGATATCTGTATTGTATGCTATAAAAGTTATGATCTAAGCTTCACATGCATATTTGCTGAGATGTAACTTCCACAGCAGCCACTAGTTCTCTGCTTGACAGGTGTTCTAGTAGGATGCTAACTTCATTTCCAACTCAGTGTCTCTTACATTTTCAGCTCACGTGAACTGTATCGCTTTTTATGGCTACTGAGAAGAGGAAGGTGGACGCAGCATGTTGCGTTTTCGACGACGAATGGGGAGTACAGTATAGCGGTTTTGAAAGAGTACAATCTTCGGAGTCAGTATGAAACGAAACACCTATTATCATACTCCAAATATTCGGGGAAGTAACACTCGGAGAGATATGAGTCCATGAAAAGTTGTTTTGAAACACAAGTAAATCTCTTCACGAGCAAGTTTACTGAGAATAAAGATGCCAGCTGATACAAGTTACAAACAAGTTCATAAGATGACAGAACGAGGAAAACCGTTTACTGATGGTAACTTGATCAAAGAGTGTATACTGGGAGCATTGAATGACTTGTGTCCTGAGAAGGCCGATTTCTTTTCCACTATCAGCCTTTCGGCAAGTTCGGTTGTGCGGAGAACAGAAGAAGTTAGCGAGCAAGTAGTGCTACAGATACGCCAGCAAGGAAAAGACTATTTGTGGTTTTCTCTGGCGCTGGATGAGTCTATTGATCTGTCGAGTAGGTCACAACTTCTCGTCTTCATTTGTGGTGTCAATTCGAGCTTTCAAATAGCGGATGAGTTGGTGTCGGTCTGTAGTATGCATGGAACGACAACCGAAAAGAATATTTTCGGGGAAGTGCACAAAATTTTGCAAGATTGTAACGTTCGGTGGAATCGGCTCCGAGGTGTGGCAGTTGATGGAGGGGGAAACATGGCTGGAGTGCTGAAGACTCTGGTAGGGCAGATCAGGACTCAGTTGGAAGATTTGGAAATTCCGGCCGCTCTGTTCATTCACTGTATCCTACATCAACAAGCACTCTGTCGGAAAGACAGATATTCCTTGTGTACTCAAACCAGTCGTTTATGCCGTCAACTTCATTTGAGATCTGCTCTAAATCACCGTCAGTTCGAGTCTTTTCTGGAAGACATTGATTCCGAATTCTGGGATTTACCTTACCACACATCAGTACGATGACTCAGTTGCGGTAAAGTTCTCTTACGTTTTTACAAGCTCTGAAATGAAATAGTTGCGTTCCTGAATGAAAAACGTACAGCTGGCCCACAGGTGTCAAAGTTGGCATTTATGGTCGATATCACATCCCACATGAATCAGTTGATTTTGAAACTGCAGGGAGAGGACAACCTCATCTGTATTCTGTACAGCATAATCAAACGATTTCGGCGAAAGTTCTCATTGTTTGAAACACAACTGGAAGGAGCAAATCTTTCTCACTTTAACTGTTTCAAGGAGTTTTCGCTAGGATCGCCGAAGACGCCTTACTCGAGTTTCCGAGAGCAATTGTTCGTGAACTGAAAAGGCATTTTTTGGAGAGATTTTCAGATGTTGACAGAATTAGAGTGAAATTATTCTGTTCCGGAATCCGTATGATTGTAACCTTGATGAAGTTCCAGCTGCAATAGTTAGAGCTAATTGACGTGCAGGCAAATGACTTTTGCAAACAGAAGCACAGAGAAAGACAACTTGTCGGCTTTTACAGCTCCCTAACTGATGTTCAATTTCCGGAACTGAGAAAATTTGCAGATGATATGGCATCAGTAGTTGGAACAACCTAGGTCTGTGAGCAAACATATTCAAAAAGGAAGTACGTGAAATTAGCTCATGGAACGCGATTGACTGATGAACATTGGAAAGCATTTCTCTAGACCAGCTGCAGCCATTCCAAAGCAAACGTTGATGATATTGTGAAAACCAAAGTTTCCTTTTAAGGCTAACATTTTCGCAGCCCTTTGCAACTTCCAGATGTGTGTCCATAAGTGAGGAAACTAACTTTTAGTTACGATAGTCTTTGTTAATATATTTTCGCTTCATTAATATGTTGAATTTTCTTCATTTTGTATTACACATCACTCACCCATATTTACAACGGAATGTGCTACACTGCTGACAGTAATTCCGTTAAGTATCTACCTTTTGGCCTTTGAGTATTTCGCAAAATCCAAATCGGTCTGCGGCCGTAATTTCGTTCGCAATCCGGCCCGCCTAGAATAAAGTTTGGCGACCGCTGCTCTAGACCAAGTCATCGCTTGGCCTGCCCTCCTATTCTCACATCCAGACCCCGGGCGGGCAAACAACCCACGATGCGGGAGTCGGTGTGCTGGCATGCGCAACACGAGGCCCAGCCATCGGACCCTAATGAGTGATATAATGGTGCTAAGCGATTCACACGCCCTTCCTGCACCAAATACACGACGTCAAACATGCTCATAGCTCACGCGGCGTTCCAACCAGACATGAGCTAAGCTGCGAACGCATTGATGGACGAACCTTACTAGCCTCTTTTTGTCGGCTGATCTAATGGGCTCCAACGTAAACTCTGACCTTCAGAGCTAGAGTAACATTCACGCCGGAGCCACTGGTGGCGGAGATTGACAAAAACACCCCAAGGTTTCTCTATACAGTTCGTGACCTCATGTTCAATCCCACGGGCGTTAACACAGCTGCCGAAATACGAAAATTTTTACACGACTTCTAGCTGATAAGCACCAAGGACTGGCGCAAGAGTGGGTCTCTGCCATTCTTGGAGAAGGGGCTTTACATTTCGAACGTGCAAGGTATCGCCCGTAATGACTAACAGCCAGGGTTAATTTATCCAGTGCGGCTTGGCATGTTTGTGAGGTGTCACTGATGGGCGCAA